ATAAATAAGTGGAACAACAAATCAACTTCTCTCTCCCCAAAATCAATGAACAAACAAACAAACAAACAAACATTTTTTTGCCCTGGCTGGTGTGGCTCAGTGGATTGAGCATTGACCTACAGACCAAAAGGTCCCTGGTTCGATTCCCAGTCAGGGCACATGCCTGGGTCGGGTCTCCAGTTGGGGGCATGTGAGAAGCGATCAGTTGATGTTTCTCTCACTCACACATCCACATTTCTCCCCCTCTCTCCCTCCCTCCCCTCTCTCTAAAAATAAATAAATACAATCTAAAAACAAACAAACATTTTTTTAAACTTCGATGAAAAGACATTGGAAGTGATAAACGGGGAAGTGAAATGATTTGTCTTCCTGCTCCGGCTACAGCTCGGAGGCAGGTCGGAGGGCGGGAGACCCTCGCGCAGGGATGACACATGTGGCGGGGGAGGGGGGATTTGGGAGCTGGGGAGAGGAATCAGGATGATCCGCAGCATCTGCAGCCGGGCTGCTGGTCGGTGGGCTAGTTCCTCAGTGGGGAAGACCCGAGAAGGTGGAATATAAATTGGGTTCTGTTTTTGACCTTATTTTAAGCTGCCTTTTAGAATTCCAGGTGGAAAGACCACATGCCAGACCTGCTTGGCTGTGATTTCTGAGGCAAGGACCTGCCCCCCTCCATCAATATTTTTTTTAAGATTTTATTTATTTATTTATTTCTAGAGAGATAGGAAAGGAGGGAGAAAGAGAAGGAAACATCAGTGAGTGGCTGCCTCTCACACGCCCCCTACTGGGGACCTGGCCCACAACCCAGGCATGTGCCCTGACTAGGAATGGAACAGGCGACCCTTTGGTTCGCAGGCTTGTGTTCAATCCACTGAGCCACACCAGCCAGGGCCTCCATCACCATTTTATCCCCGGCCCTGGAGCAGGACCAGCCAGCCAACAGGAAGGTGATGAGGTCATTGCGTAGGGGGCTGATCAAGTACCTGTACCCCACTTAAATGCATTTGTTTTTTGCCCCCAAATAGAATAATAAGACATACTCTACAAAGGTAATATTGGGCCAAATTCACAGCAATTCTAAAGCAGTGCTTCTCAAAGTATGATCCCTGGACTAGCCAGCATCGGCGTTACCTGGAAGTTGCTAGAAATGCCGGTTCCTAGGCCCCTCCCCATCCCTATCGCATCAGAAAACCATCAGCCTTCCTCGTGATCGTGACGCAGGCTAATGTCTGAAGCTGCTTCCCTATGGGGCCTACGGCCTTGTTCTCCAGGTCGTGCAGGACACGCGCCTGGAGAAAAACGGGGTCCATCTCTCTGGATAGGACACCGTCCATCCTGGACCAAGACCTAGCTGGGCACAGGGCTTCTCCCCCCACAGCATCTGCACTCCCATCCCTCAGCCACTGTAGTTCTGACCACAGCCAGGTGGTGGCGCCAGCGCCTTAGGCTTCACTCTGGCATCAAGAAATGAGAGATCCCAGAAGAACTGTCCCCCTCCCCAGGACCTTCTCCCCGCTGGGAGCCTGAGCTCCTAGGCCTGCCCACTGGCGAAGGCTCTGCAGGGTGGCCCTCACAGGAAGAGGAGCGCCGAGGGTGGCATACCCAAGGGGGGCCAGCCCCCTCTTCCTGGAGATTAGGAAGGTGGGCTGGAGGCCACCTTGCTCAGAGAGACATTAGGGGTGCCTGGCCTGTAGGACTTGGGGATCAAGAGCCCACGCAGGGGGCTCTGGTCCAGTGGACTCTGGCCACACTCCCATCAACCCTCTGCCTACCCTGCCCAACCTCATAGGAGGTCTCAGGTGCCTCTTCCCTGCCAGTGGGTGGTGCGGCATGGAGGGACCTCGGGGCCCCAACAGGGCCCCAGCACTGGGAGTCCCAAGCAGATTGGAAGTGGGGCCCACAGCTGGGAGGATGCTTGGGTGGAGCTTTCTTACCAGCTGCCAGCTTCACACCGCCTGGGTTGGGGGCTCTCTGGGCCCCTGTCCTGCTTTGGGGCCAAGGAAGCCCACGATCCTGGACGAGCCCGCACCCCACTCCTGGTCCTGGGTGCAGCGCAGCTGGTAGGGGCCTAGGAGCCCCGCCTGGGCTCCCTCCCACCTCAGGCTCCAAGCCCGGTCCCCAGAGGACCCAGGGCTGAGCGCAGGCTTGCCCCCCATCTGCTCCTCTGCCTCTCATCTTTCCTATTTGAGGGGAGACGGAGCCCCCCAAATCCCGCTGGAGTCACTCTGCTCACTCCGCTGAGACCTAGCCTACCTCGGTCTCTCCTGCAGGAATCTGCCCCCACACCCTCATCTCCTGAGGTCCCACCCAGCACCCACACCCACTCCAGAGGACTCCCTCTTGGCCAGGACTTCCTCTCCCAGGACCCAAGATGTGGAGCTGCCCTCAGAGGCTCTGCCTCCGTCCTCCTGCAGGAGGCTGGGGCCAGGCCAGCTGTTTTCCATGGGCAGCCAGCTGTTTTGCCCATCAGGAAGCAGCCCTGGCTCCTGTGCTAAAACCGTTGCTGTGGCTGGGCTGCGGCGTGGCAGCCTGGCTGGGCCAGGGCCTGGGAGCTGTTAACTCCTCTGGGCCCAGGCAGCCCCCTCCCTGCTGCCGCCCATCCCTTCTGCCTTCCCCGCACCAGCCCCCCAGGGATGACTCCTCCTCGCAAGACTTCTAGAGACCCCAAGAAGACCAAGCATTGCTATGCCCACCCCCATCGACCGCTGCCTCTCCCCCACCCCACAACGAGCCTTGTCCTCCGGTGACCCCAGGTGAGAGGAAGGTTCAAAGGGATAAACGTTACCGAATTTGGAACAGTAATAATAACAGCTGTCACCAAGTGATGCTGTGTGCCAGGGACGGTGCTAAGTGCTTTAAGTATATGATGTGACTTCATTTTCACAACCACCCTGGGAAGTAGGGATATTTTCTTTTCTCTTTTTTATTCTCACCCAAGGACATTTGCTCACCTAAGGACATTTGCTCATTGTTTTGAGAGAGAGAGAGAGAGGGAAGAAGGAAGACAGAGACAGAGAGAAACATCACTTGGTTGCCTTCTCATATGCACCCCGACCAGGGATCAAACCCACACCCTGGGTGTGTGTCCTGACTGGGAACTGAACCCTCGAACTTTCGGTCTATGGGATGACGCTCCAACCAACTGAGCCACACTGGCTGGGCAGTAGGGGGCATTTTCATTTCACGGATGAGGACACTGAGGTGTGGGAATCCAAGTCAGTCAGCCAAGCCCACGCGGAGTTGGGGTTTGACACTGGACTTCCAGCCTCTCTCTAGCCGGCCCCTGTGGCTCCAGAATCACTGTTGGTGCTGCTATTTAAGTTTCCCCGAGTTCCTCACCCCAGGCTTTCTTTCCCTGGTCTGGGCCTCAGTAGCCCCATCCGGGAAATGGGAAACTGAGGGTGCAACTGCCTCCGCCACCAGCTCCTGCAGGCCGAGTCGGGAGCTGAGCCAGGCTCTGTGCGCCACACCTTCCAAGTATTTATTAGGAGATGATTCCTCTCGGTGGCGGCAGTCAGCCTGGGCTCGGGTCCCGGCTCTGCTGCTTCCTGGCAGCCTGACTTTGGGCAGAGACTTTACGCTGCAGAGTCTCCATGTCCGAAGCTGGAAAACAGATACAAGGACGTGCCTACTGGGTCCTCAATTTTGCTGGGGAAAGGATGAGATAATGCAGGTAACGTGGTTAGCGCGGTACCGAGAAAGCGGGAGGGAATGTTACCCCTTCCTATTATGACCGTTAACCACAACCTGGAAGGATCGGTGTGGCCCACCATGGGGCGCCCCTGCACCCCGCACAGAGCTGGCACATAGGAGGGCTCAGCAGTTACTTCGTGAATGGTGAACCCTGACACAGGGGACAGCAAGATGCCCAAGAACACAGTTACCAGGTGGAGCTACGGGCATCCCAAGGCACCCTGTTCTCAACTCCTGCACCCCTACGGCCTTCCTTCCTGAGGCTGGACCCTGGTCTGGTGGAGGGTGAGGAAGGACAAGGGAACAGGGACGATCCCAGGGCTGAGACAGCCCAGAAGGTGACTGGGCCATGGTTGGGTGGTGTCTCAGGGTCTGGGAACGACCCCTCAGGATGCAGTGACCCGTGCTCTCCCCTGTGGTCCCCTCCCCCTGCCCACCATGGGTCAGCTCCCTGGTCCCAGCCTAGACATCTGGAACTGGGACAGACAAAGGGCTGCAAGGAAAGACAATAACCTTCTGTCCATTTTCAGATGCTGGGCCGGGCCTGGCCAGGGCTGGGGGCCGGAGCCCCGGCGAGGCGGTGCCAGGCCCCCCGTGGGCAGCGGACAATGTTGGCAGTGATGGAGAGGAGGCATTTCAAAGCGTTTTGTTCCCACTGACCCCCTCCCCACCACATCTCGACCCAGCTCGGGGTGAGGCCCCAGCCCCACCCCCAGCCACCCAGGCCCCTGCTCCAGGCGGCTTGGGGACTGGCCACATTCTTGACCTCAGGGGAAAAGTTTAGACACTTCGCGCCCTGGGCAACAATAACAGTGTCACAGAACTGATTTAGGAGCGGCACTTACCATCACAAAGCGGCAGACAAAGAGCCGGGGCTGAGAGTGTGCACGGCTCTGAGCCTGCTGCTCCAAGTGCCCCTCACTTCTCTCCCGGGCTCTGCCTGGGGGAGCTGGGTGCCAGGCCCTGACCCCGGGCACGCTGGAGGAGGACTGGAGGTGGGGAAGGGGCGAAGGAGAAGAGATCCAAATGCCGGGGCGGAGGGGCCGAGAGCTGCTGCCCGCTCCACCACCAATTTGCTATGTGACCCTAACAAGTCCCCCACTCTCGGGCTCAGTGTTCCCATCTGTGAGAAGGGGGCTAAACTGTAAGGCCAAAGGCCGGAGGCTCAGACCTTGCAGGCAGAAATGTGTCACCGATGACGAGGATGATGGTGATAAGTATTCAGCGCTGCATTCTGAGCACATGGGCGCGGGGCTCTGTAACCACTAACCCTGCTCTGGCCTTCAGCCTTTTTTGACTGCGATGGAGAGCCCTCGCGGCATCTCCTCCCTCTTCCTCTCCCAAAGGAGGAGAGGAACGAACGGCTGGTTATCAATGCCAATGTCAGCTGCAGAAGCGCCTCCGGAGCCAGCCTCGCACTCCAGGGGGAATGCCCCGCCTCCTCCTCGAGGTCTCCTGCACTCTGTACGCCCAGAGAAACTTCTCTGGTAACAAAGTGCACAGAAACGATCCCAGAGAGTATGGTTTTTCGACCTCTTTTACCCCGTTCAGTCCTCATCCACCCCCCAAAGCAGGCGTGTCGTTAACCCTAGTTTACAGCCGATGCCTGAAGCTCAGAGAGGTGGGGTCACTTGTCCAGGCCCAGGCGGCAGGACGGCTGTGGGGCCCAGACAGAGCAGGGCTGGTTCACCTCTGATTGATTACACGGCAGTGGGAAGGAGAGGGAGGCTGCGGGCAGCTGGACCCGGGTGAGTTCTGGGTGGGAGGGCCTCTTCTCCCGGCCAGAAGGCTATGAATAAATAAATGTCTGATTACCCCCAGGGGGGATTCCACCCTTGGAGCAGGTGCCTTTAGAAACGAGATTGATCCCTGCCTGCGAGCAGAGGTTGGCCGGGGCAGACACCCAGATGCTAGGGACTGGACACAATGACCCCTAGCGGGGACCTCTCAGGATCAGATGCAGGAGAAGAGACGTCTCTGGGGCTCTGGGGCCAGGCCACGGGTTCGAAAGCCCACTAGATTTCTCCTGGTAGTGCATCTGCGGACAGGTTACCTCAACGTTCTCTGCCTCAGTTTCCCAATCTGTGCAACTGCACCCGCCTTACGGGAGTGTGGGGACCATTTGGTGAGAGACAGGGAAGGCCTGGAACAGCTGGGTATATGTCCCAACTGGGAATCAAACCCTCGAACTTTTAGTCCATGGGATGACGCTCCAACCAACTGAGCCACACCGGCCAGGGCAGTAGGGGCATTTTCATTTCACAGGTGAGGACACTGAGGTGTGGGAATCCAAGTCAGTTAGCCAAGCCCACGTGGCGCTGGGGTTTGGAACCAGACTTCCCGCCTCTCTCCAGCCGGCCCCCGCGGCTCCAGAACAGCTGTGAGCACTGCCTCTTTCTACTTGGCAAGGTCCTCCGGCCAGGTCCTGTGGCCGGGACACCTCAAGGCGGCCACTGTGGGGACTCTGTGGCACACAGTCGGCTGTAGACCTTGCTTTCCAGGAAGTGGCTGGGCTTTGACTGCAGCATGAGGGCCCATGGGTAGACACTGAGAGCAAAGGGGCCTGTTCTTCGGGATCCGTAAGGCGAAGGCCAGCCGTGGCCTCCGGAGCCAGCGGAAGGAGCTAGTGGCTCCTCTGGGCATGAGCAGGGTGGTCAGCCCTGGACGTGGTGCCCGGAGAGAGGACAGCAGGAGAGGGGACCCTGGGAGGTGCTGTCCAGAGTCTGACCCCAGTCCTTCAGTCCAGAGGGACCAAACTGGGAGAAGGACAGGTGGCCAAGCGTGGTGTCGGACGCACAAACAGCACTGCCCTTGGCGTCTTAAGGGGACCCGGTGGGTTTGAGTCCTGGTGCTGCCAACTGGCTGTGTCACCCAGGGTGAGCTGCTAACCCTCTCGCGCTCATTCCAGAAGCCTTTCAGGACTCGAGTGCTCAAAGAGGGCCGCCACGGGCAGCACCAGGGTTCCGCTAGTCTGGTCCGAACGCTGGCTGGAACCCAGGGGTCCTGCTCCCCACGCTCCAGCCCCTCCTGCCTCCCCTCATCCTGCTTTGCCTCCGGTTTTTCAAACCATCCCTTTGGCCTCCTCAACCGAACCGCCAGCGTCACAGGCACCCTGGGCCGAGGGCGAGAGAGCCCAGTGGAAAATGCAGCAGATTCTCAGGGGCTCGCTGCGGGTGTGGGGCGCCGGGGGGCCCAGAAAGGACAGCTCACGCTCCCTCCCTGCCTGTCTGTGGGGACAGAGTAGCACTCACCTGGGCAGAGCACTTTGGGGTCCCCCTGGGCCTGGGAAGGCGGATGGTACTGCGAGGCCAGACTCTGACACAAGCCGACTTCCCCACCCAGCTCCCGCGGCTGAGAAGGGCTGGTCAGGCAGGCTCGCAGGTGCCAGCCAGCCCTTCCTGGGCACAGACTTTCCTGGCATCTGTTGGGCAAGAAGGCTGGGGGTGGGGCAGGGGGACAGGAAATGATTCCTGGGAAAGGGTGAAGGTGTTTCTTACAGAATTTGTCCCCAGCCCTTAAACCCATGCCCCTTCTGGACACTGTGGGGCAAAGGTCCAGGAAGCCATGGGCCCTCGGGGGCCAGGGCAGAGCTGATGGAGAGGCTGAGATGAGCCCAGGCCCCTGCCCCATCCTGTGCCCCCTGCCTCCGCCCCGACAGGCCAGCGTGGCCCAGGCCGCGCGGTGTTTGCTTTTCCCGGCTCCACACTGACTCCATTCACAGCGGCCTTTCTCCACCCCCAGCCAGCAGCCCCGGAGCCAGGGCACCAGGGAGAGAGATCACCGCTCACCCCGCCCTCCTTCACAGCCCCTCCTGCCACCTTCACTTTGGGGACAGCTAGCTTCCGGGCTTCATAGTTTTTTTTTTTTTTGCGGGGGTGGGGAACCACAGTAGGAGGAGGACTGGGGCAGACGGGGCCCTCCCCGGAGAAGAGGGAGAGGGAGCCGCCACAGGGAGGGAAAGAGGAGCACCAAGTGAGGTGGGGGAATGAGGACAGGGGAGCAGAAGGGATGGTGGAGAGCAGGGCTCCACCTGGAGGGCCCGGGCAGAGGTGGGCTGGGGAGAGGGGGCGCAGAGCAGCGAGACGCGGCAGAGGCGGGGAGCACCCTTCCCGGCCAACCCGGGGCCTCCCCCCAAAACCGGGTTCTGTGCCACCGAAGCAGGCGGGGCCTGAGGCGGACCTTGAGGCTGGGGCTCCTGGCTCCCACCTGAAGACCAGCCTCCTCCTCACCCCTGGGACAGGGGCCAGGACAGCCCGTGACCTGGTCTGGGGCCAGGGGGAGGAGGAGGGTGAAAAGTTTCCCGGAGTCAGAAGGCCGTGGGGGAGGCATCTCAGGGGGTCCTGCCCTCCGCTCTCTCTCACTGTCACGTTGGTACATAAAGGGGGTAGAAAGGTCAGCTGCGGCCTTTCAGGCCCGTGGGAAAAACTCTGCCCATTTCCCTAATCCATATTTATTGGTGTGAGACACAGGGGTGGGAGGGAGCCCCTGCCCTCACCCACCGTCCCAGCCAGGCCAGGTTAGCAGTAAGGACAGGCTCCATGTCACCCAAATCCTACTCTTTGTCTCCAGATTGGCTCCAGAGTCCTCTCCCTCCCCTCCTCCCCTTGGCTCCCCCCACCCTGCTTTGGGGTTGCCAAGCAACCGTGGAAGGGTAGCTGAAATATTTTCTTTATTACAAGCAAAAGCAAGACAGCATCATGGCCCCTGGAGGGAAGCAGGGTAGGGGCTGGGGGAGAGGGCGTCTTGTGCTCTGGGGGAACCTGGATACCTCAGTGCGTCCCCACACAGGCGGTGGGAGGCAGGGCCTCGGGCCCAAGAGAAAGTGGAGGTAGAACAGAGAGGTGGCAGTGAGGGGACTGGGTGGGCACACAGACACTGGCCAGGTCCCCATAACGCTAGGAGCAGCGCCTGGAGACCCAGGCCCCAGCCTGGCTTCCGGGCCCAGTCACTTCCCTTCTCCGGGCCTAAGCTTCCTCCTTCATAAAAAGGGGATAATGGCGTGTACTATCTCACTTAATGCTCATGTGAACCCCCAGACATCTCTTTTTCCCATTTTACTGGTTGGAAAGCTGAGTGTCAGGGTCGTGAAGGGACATGCCCAGCGGGTGAGTGGCAGAGGGGAGCTTCCTGAGCCCGAACTTTCTTTAATGACAAGTTTATTGACATGTAATTCACATACCATAGTTTGCCCAGGTAACACAAACAATGTAATGGTTTTTAGTGCATTCGCAGAGTCGTACTACCATTGCCACCACCAATTTTTGAACATTCCCATCACGCCCCAAAGAATCTACTCATCAGCCTTCATTTCCCCCAATTTCCCTCCCTCCAGCCCTAGCCAGCCACTAATCTGCTTTCTTTCTTTAAAAAAAAAATTAAAAAATTTATTTTTAGAGAGAGGGGAAGGGAAGAAGAGTGGGAGAGAAACATCAGTGTGTGGTTGCCTCTCATGTGTCTCCTACTGGGGACCCGGCCTGCAACCCAGGCATGTGCCCTGACTGGGAATCGAACCAGTGACCTTTTGCTTCACAGGACTGCGCTCAATCCACTGAGCCACACCAGCCAGGGCTTTGCTTTCTGTTTCTATAGATTCTCCTATTCTGGTTTTTTTTTTTTTTTTTTTTGTAAGAGAGAGGGGAAGGGAAGGGGAGGAGAGGGAGAGATGTGTTAGAGATACATTGATCCATTGCCTCACATGCCCCCAGCTGGAGACCCGGCCCACAGCCCAGGCATGTGCCCTGACTGAGAACTGAAACTACGACCTTTCGGTTCGTGGGCCGGTACTCAGTCCTCTGAGCCGCACCAGCCAGGGCTCTACTCTGCACATTTCCACACATGGACTCAGACAGTATGCCAGAGACCCAACTCTTCCGATGGCTTCAACCTCCCTGGGGTGACAGAGTGAGGTGTCAGCTGGTGGCACGGCTAGGGACACGGGTCTTGCTGTCTGAAATCTGGCTCTGTCACTTAGCAGCTCTGCACCTGGTGGAAGCTGCTTCCTCTGGGCCTCAGGCCCCTGGTGTGCGAAATCAGGAGGGTGACGGCATTTCTCACAAAGAGGCAGTGAGCCACCCAAGTGCCAGCCCGGGGCCCAGTGCTTAACAGATGGCACTGGCAACTGGGTTTTGGTGATCCACGTAGCTGTCTGTCTTTCCAGCCGTTCACCCAGGCACTTAATAGAAGTCAGCACCGCCCTGGCTGCTGTGGCTCAGTGGATTGAGCACGAACCTGTGAACCAAAGGGTCACAGGTTCAATTCCCAGTCAGGGCACATGCCTGGGTTGCAGGCCAGGTCCCCAGAAGGGGGCGTGTGAGAGGCAACCACAGTGCTGTTTTGCTCCCTCTCTCCTTCCCTTCCCCTCTAAAGATAAATAAATAAAATCTTTAAAATTTTTTCAAAAAGTAAATAAAATTAATAGAACTGTAACGGCATAATCAATAAAAAATAAATTTAAAAAATTTTTTAAAAAGTAAATAAAATTAAAGTAAAAAGAAGTCAGTACCTTCTAAGGGTCCGGCATTGTTCCAG